AAAAAAAAAAAAAAAAAAAAAGATATGTCTTGGCAGTTTCTTTCACCCATGCCAGCTCTGCATGTCTCCCTTTCCTTTCTCTCTTCTTTCTCTAATAAACATTGTTTGAAAACTTTGGGGGAAAAAAAAAAGATATGTCTCCATTGTTATGTCCCTGTAGAGTTAGGTTTTTTCCTCACTTTGTAAAAGAAGAGAATACAGATTTGTTTGACATTCCCCAGATTTTAATACAATTTGCATTCATGGGCAAATTTTTTTTTTTTTTGAGTTGGACTCTCACTCCGTCACCCAGGCTGGAGTGCAGTGGCACGCTTATGGCCACCCCCGCCTCGACCTGCTGGGCTCAGGGGATCCTTCTGAGTTTCAGTCTTCTAAGTAGCTGAAACTACAGGCATGCACCACCACGCCCAGCTAATTTTTTAATTCATTGTAGAGATGAGGTCTCACCAAGTTGCCCAGGCTGGTCTCGAACCTGTGGGCTCAGGCAATCCTCTCACCTCGGTCTCCCAAAGTGCTGGGGTTATAGGCGTGAGCTACCACTCCCAGCCATGGGCAAAATTTAACAGTTTCCCTTTTTGATGATTTGAACTCAGTTAACACGGTTAAGGCAGCTGACCTCCTACCTGAAGGCAGATAGAGAGGGTTTGTCTCAGCTGTGTCCTAGGCAACATTGCTTACACTGAAAATGACTGCTGCTGGTGGAGGAACTATAAATAACTAAGTATCTGGAGGGCAGCCATGCTTTGTGGGGGCCGTGAGTGTGGAGCTCCTGTAGGGGGTGGGAGCTGGGAATCTCCTTCCATAGAGCCGTAGCATGAGATACTGATTCTCATGTGGAAGGAGGCTTGTAGGCCAGGGTGGCCTCAACACCAGACAGATGCAAGTTGGCATCTCCTCTCCAGCTGGCCTGCTGTGTGGAGCATGTCAGGGCTCAGAGGAAGAGGAATCCGGGGGCCACCTTCCTGGCAAACATGGTCCTGTCTTGTAGCATCAGGGTAGACTGCTGCTCCCTTCCTTAAGAGGAAGGAAGTTTCTGGACATATGCACTGGGCTTTTTTTTTTTTGAGTTGGAGTCTCACTCTATCACCCAGGTTGGAGGGCAGTGGTACGCTCCCGGCCACCGCAGCCTCAACCTGCTGGGCTCTGGTGATCCTTCTGGCTCAGCCTTCCGAGTAGCTGGAACTACAGGCATGTGCCACCACGCCTGGCTAATTTTTTGATTTATTGTAGAGATGGGATCTCACCAGGTTGCCCAGGCTGGTCTCCAACCCTAGGGCTCAGGCAATCCTCTCGCCTTGGCCTCTCAAAGTGCTGGGATTGCAGGCTTAAACCACCGCGCCTGGCCATCACTGGGGTTTTTATTTCGTCCCTGTTGTATTTCGTTGTGTCAGTTTGACCTTTAGGTATTTTGGAGTACTGACTCTCTCTTCTTGTTCGAATCATGATGATGACATTAAGGCACCCAGATGGGAGAGGCAGTGGGCTTCCCAAAGCTGCCCGTCACCTGGCCTAAACCAAAGGGCCCCAAGCTGCCCCTGACCTTGAGACCAGCCTGCCCTTGAATCACCTGGTGACTCCCCAGAGCAGGGAGGACTGTTGAGTTGATAGAGAAATACCGCAGGCGTGTTTTCCCAAGGACCCGATGCAGTTAGCCCTGTGATGCTCCAAAGAAGTTGCAGACAACTTGCAGCGCCCAAGGTGTGTCCCAACATCATGTCACTGTGATCCTGGCCAGCCAAAGCTTTTGAACCTGTTTATGCTGATGGGGGATTACACCTAGTTCCCAGGGACCAAGCTGGCCTCCCTGCCCACCGCACCCAGGGCCCAGGGCTTGGGAGATGGGCGCTTTGCCCCCACTTTTCTTTTTTTGAGTCGGAGTCTCACTCTGACACCCAGGCTGGAGTGCAATGACATATTCCCGGCCACCGCAGCCTCGACCTGCTGGGCTCTGGGGATCCTTCCGCCTCAGTCTTGCAAGTAGCCAGAACTACAGGCGCGTAATTTTTTGATTTACTGTGGAGACGAGGTCTGGACAAGTTGCGCGCGCGGGAGGGAGGGAAGGGGGGATGTCTCGAACCCGCGGACTCAGGCCATCCACTGGCCTCGACCTCCCAGAGTGCTGGGATGTGGGATGATAGACTGAGCCACTGAGCCCTGTCTACCCTCACTTTTCATGAAGCCCTGGGCTGCGAAGTGACAGGCTGTGGGACACTGCTGGATCCCGGTGGGCGCAGCCTCGCCCAGGTCGGGCCACCACTACGGGGTGACTCTGTACCCCGAGGTTCTGTGTCGACCTGGCCCCACGTGGCGCCTCTTTGCCAAGGGCAGCACGCCCCCTGCTGTCCGCGCTGGAACACTGCGCGTGGCCACAGACGCTCTCAGGGCCAGGGCTCAGAGCTTGCCCTGCAAGACATGATGAGATTGCTCTGAGTCATCCTGCAAGATTTGAGATGTCCCCAGGACCAAGCAAAACGTAACTGCGGTGCCCTCCTGAATTCAGGATTGTGTGGGCACAGGAGAGCAGGAACTATGACGGCAAATGTCATCATTCTCTGTGATATACTGTATATATAGAACCCCAAAATATCAACATAGGCCACGGCTAAAGTCAGAACATGAAGTAAAAACGTCACTGCAATAAGAAAAAAGTAGGGAAACGACTTCATCCAGAGTGTCATCAGATTTTTGACAAGAGGTTGTTGTTTTTGCTTGTTTGTTTGTTTGTTTGTGTTTTTCATAGCCCAATAATGACCTTCAAAAAGCCATTTAATCAGTTTTGGTTAAATTTAAGATGGACTCAGTTACACTTTTAGACATTGACATGTACAATTTTGTGGTGGTAAAGTGTTGCCAATTAAATAAGTATTTCAAGGACAGGGACACGGCTTCTACTTTCTCAATATCTTCCCAGAATACTAGGAAAAATCTTAATTCAACTCAACTAAATGTACTAACCATCATTTATTTAGCATATCCTAACAACATGATTTACCAGCTGTGTGAGGCAGGACATAGGATTTTTACACTACCTGTGCCTCAGTTTCATCATCAGTAAAATAAAGATCATAGTACCTATTCATAGAGTAAGGACTAAATGAGATATACATTGTTGGAAAGGAAAAATGCTTCCTCCACCCTCTTAGACCCAGTTAACGGGACCTGCAAATTGCACCAAAAAGAAGAATGAACAGGAGAAAAGGTATATAATTGTTATTAATATTTATAACTTAGTTCACAGAAAATAAATGAAGCTCAAAAAAGCAGTTAGATGAGGGGGCTTGTACACCATTTTAACAAAGACAAGGTGTTTTGCACTTCAAGGGGTGATAAGTCATGGGAAGTAACTAGGAAATACATGGAAGAAACTAACAGAAGATAGGGGTTCGTTTAACAAGGTCTGCTTATGTAGACTCATCTGGGTGCTGACTCCAGTTCCAGTGATAAGAGTTGCTCTCAAGCCGGGCTTGGTGGCTCAGCCTATAATCCCAGCACTTTGGGAGGCCGAGGTGAGTGAATGTTCGGAGCCTGCAGGTTCGAGACCAGCCTACGCAACTTGGTGGGACCTCGCCTCTACAATAAACCAAAAATTAGCCAGGCGTGGTAGCGCGCTCCTGTAGTTCTGGCTACTTGGAAGGCTGAGGCGGAAGGATTTCCGGAGCCCAGTAGGTGGACGCTGGGATGGCCGTGAGCAGGCCACTGCACTCCAGCCTGGGCGACGGAGTAAGACTCCAACTCAAAAAAAAAAACAAAAAAAAACCTCTCTGGTTAACTCTGATTCTATTCACGTCATTCACCTCAAATATGACATTGCAGTCAAAGTTTTGGTGATGTAGCCAATGTTTCCATTTGTGTTCTATTATAAGGAGAACAGATTCTTGTTGAACTAATGCAGTTGATTATATTGTCAAGAAAATAAGAATACTCAATAAGAGTTTCCAAATTCTAGGGGGCTCAGGTAAGGAAAAAAATAAAGATTTCATTTCTATTTATAAAAGTGTAACATACTAAATTGCTATAAGTTATAGATAGCTTAAGGAAAAAATAAGGAGGGGTTTCTTATGTCCAGAGAGTAACACATTAAGGAACCAGCAAAGTTGCTAGCAAAAGACTACAAAGATTATAAGCACCTACATCAATTCACTCGGTCTCATGTAATTGATTGTTTTGCCCGATCTTGGTTAGTGGTTTATGAATCCATAAGTTTCTCTGCTCGTTCTGGAAATCCCAACTCAGTTCAGTAGTGTGTCCTTAGGTTTATTAAGCAATGTCATCAGAAGCTTGTACTCCAGAATACTTTTCCTTCCAGAGTCTCTGAAACTTCTTGTTGAAGATGGAGTACTTTGGCCTGTGGCTGATGGCAGAAGCTTCAGAAAAGCATCAAAGTAAAGCATAGCTGTCCATGGTTGACAAAAGACTGAAAATGGCACACAAGATTTTGAGACAGGCCAGGCACGGTGGCTCAGCCTGTCATTCCAGCACTTTGGGAGGCTGAGGCAAGTATGTTTATTTCCTTTAGGGCCTGCTATCTGTCATGTGATGTCATACCAGAGTCGGGTTGAAATTTGGTGTCTTATTGATGCAGTCTATCTTGTCTGTTGCCAGGTGGGGTGCAGTACAATGCTCATGAGTCCTTTGACTACCACTGAAAAGAATTTCAGAGCAGGAGTTGCTTGGCAAGCTGGCAACCGGGCAACCCGGCGTCTGAAGCCCTCTGCAAGGGAGATCTGCAGTGGGTCTCTGACTCTCGCCCCGGGGGGCTGGGGACCCCAGCATTGCAGCCTGC